CTCACTCATAGCCTGGGCAACCAAAGCTGAGAGACCTGTCTCAAAAAAAAAAAAATAAGACGTGAGCTGAGGCGAAGGCGGTGGGGCTCACGCCTGTATCCCAGCACTCTGTGAGGCCGACGGGGCAGGCGGATTGCGCCAACCCGGTCAGGAGTTCGAAACCAGGCCTGAGCGAGAGCTGAGACCCGGTCTCTACCTGAAAAATTACGCACAGACAAAATTAAATTGGCCCAACTAAAAACATATCATAAACACTACACTAATTGGACGTGAGATGTGGCACCATCTGGGGGATCGGTTATGTCTGGAGACTCAGACTTTGCGGGGACCAGCTAGGTGGGGGAAATGCGATCTCTATTGAAACCTCCTTACCATCTGATACCCCCGTAATCATGCACCAGAAATAAAACATGAAATAATAAATAAAATTAAAAATGAAAAACTTAACAAACACTACTATATAATAGACGAAGGAAAAAATTAACCACATCTGGCATCCTGTCAGTCGCCAGTACTAGCTGAGGCAGGAGGGATTAATCACTTGAGCCAGGAGACTGAGTTTTTGGCTGTGACTAACGGACCCACGCACTCCACTCTAGCCCCCTGCAACTGAGGTAGACTCTGTCTCCTCAAAACAATGAAAAGAAAAAAGACCTACTGATTCGCCCCTGAAGAACGGGCAGGCAACAGACGCAAAGACAGTCGGTCCTCCTCTCTTCTGCCGTGCTGGCCGCCAGAGCCGCCAAAAGGGCTTCCCCTGCCTGGGAGTGGCTGAGGCGAGGGCGAGGCAGCATCCCGCCTCGCCACCTCCGTATTGCAGCGGCTGCGGTGTGGTGTTGCCTGAGGCAACGCCACGTTGTGCCTGCAGACCCAAGCTGGTGTCATGGTGTTGTGGGGCCCAGTCGGTCACTGAAGTTCAGACCAAGAAACTCATGAGGCCAGGTGGGCACGGGTGGGGATGGCCAGCGATGGCTGAGGGCCCGACCGACCGCTGCTTGAGCTCGATCGGTGCCATGAGATATGGAATACAGCTCCCTAACAGCCTAAGTGAAAAGGGAAATATGGCTCAGTTGATGGAGATTCGTTTTCCCTTTTGAGTGATGGCGCGATTCACTCTTAATCATAAGCGGAAAAGGATGGAATTGGTTGGTAGAAGAGCAAAGCTTTTCCAAGACACGAAGTGCTCTCTTATGGCATGAACACAAGACTTTCCGAGTTTTCCCATACTGACTCTAAAAGCTCTGTGCCCTCGCTGTGAGCTGCGGGGCCTTAGCCTCTGAGCCCAGACCCAACCAGGCAATGTCTTGTGGCAGAATGTCCCATGGTGCCGGGAGCACTGTGTGAAGCCTTTGAGCGGTCCAGCTCATACCAATAGGGACTAGGAGAGGCCAGAGCCACACGACACCTTCAACACCCGCTCTCCGATGGTCTGACCAGCTAACAAGCGCTGGCGGTCGCGCGAAAACCAGGCACCAGCGAGCTGCCCTTGTGCGAACCAGAAGGACCCCGCAGCAAACACATCGCGGTCAGAGGTCCAGGCTCGCTTGGTCATCCAATGGGGGGGACGTCGGGACACATCCGTGGAACACAAGCCCAGCCAGTGCTCAGGGACACAGGCCTCTCCGAGCAGACAGGGCTGGAGCTGCTCTCGAAGAGTGCCGCCGTGAAAGGCAGCTCCCCACCGAGGCTTGGGGGGACGTCCAGAACAGAAAGCAGCCTCCTGGGCGGCGGAGCTCTGACAGGGCACCATGCATCAGAGGAGTTTGTGCAGAGTGTTTGTGCAGGTTGTTCTGAGGGCGCTGTGGGCAGGTGCCGCATGCCACCCCCGAAACAGTTGCCCCATCATGGTACGCCAGCAGTGTGGCTGATCCCCATCTACTTCTCCTCAGGGACAGACAAGGCCCAAAGTTCTGGGGGAGGGAGGCCACACACAGACAACTGGAATACCCAGACTGAGCTCTCGCCCCTGCCTGGGTCAGGCCGTGAGACTTTGCATTGGGGATGCTTCTCAATATTCGCTCAATTTGAATGTTTCCATTCCACAAAGGTGCCCCAGCACAGTGACTCTCAAAGCACTATCGTAGAGAGCTGGTTAGAAAGCAAAGACCCCTGCCCCTTGCACCCCCCTCCCCAGCCTGGGTCCCTGCGACGGTCTTTGTCCCTGTGTACCTGTGCAGGTCACGAGGTACAGGCCGGCAGGGCAGCCGGGGGTGCGTTGAGGAAGACACCGGGTGCCCGAAGGATGCGAACGATGCTCAGGGGTTCAATAAATGCCCATTTCCCCCCTACTCCCGCAAGTCTGAGTCTCCAGCATAACCATCCCCCAGATGGTGCACATCTCACTCATTATGTATGTTATATATGTTTTTAGTTGGCCAATTAATTTGTTTCTATTTTTAGTAGAGACGGGTCTCGCTCTCGCTCAGGCTGGTTTCGAACTCCTGACCTTGCGCAATCCGCCTGCCTCGGCCTCCCAGAGTGCTGGGATTACAGGCGTGAGCCACCGCCTTCGCCTCAGCTCACGTCTTATTTTTTTTTTTTTTGAGACAGTCTCGCTTTGTTGCCCAGGCTAGAGTGATGCCGTGGCGTTCGCCTGGCTCACAGCAACCTCAATCTCCTGGGCTCAGCGATCCTCCTGCCTCAGCCTCCCGAGTAGCTGGGACTACAGGCCTGCGCCACCATGCCCGGCTAATTTTTTTTCTATGTATTAGTTGGCCAATTAATTTGTTTCTATTTATAATAGAGACGGGGGTCTCGCTCTTGCTCAGGCTGGTCTCGAACTCCTGACCTCGAGCGATCCGCCCGCCTCGGCCTCCCAGAGTGCTAGGATTGCAGGTGTGAGCCACCGCGCCGGCCTCAGCTCAGGTCTTGACAGCAGCCCTGTGAGGCAGGCACTACTGCCCGCCCGATGTCACGGTGGGGACACCGAGGCACGGAGCAGCCCGCGTGACCGCACCCGGGCTGGCTGACTGCGGAGGCGGGGGCCTTGTCACCGCAGCCCCGGCCACTCCAGACGCCACAGCACCTCCAGACGCCACTGCCCCACGGGTGACCTCCGCGCGGCTCCGGGAGCGGGAAGGGAGGACTTCCCGCGGGCACAGCCGGCCGGGCCGGGGCGCGGGGCTCGGAGGGGCTGAGGCGCGTTGCGGGAGCGCCCGGCCGGCCTTGCTCTGAGGGCCGCTCAGAGAGCGGAGAGGCCGTGGGGGGAGGGGAAGGGGGCGGCACCGGGACCGCGAGCTCTGGCGGCGCGTCAGGACTACACTTCCCAGGAGGCCCTGCGCGCCGCGGGGGCCTCCTGGAAGTTGTGGTCCGGGGCGGAGAGAGCGCGCGCGCACGGCGGGCGGAGCGGCGGGCGCAGGAACTACACTTCCCGGGATGCAACGCGCGGCCGCGGGGGCCGGGGGTTTGGGCCGGGGGTCCGCCGCCCGCGGCGGGGCTGAGTCGGCTGCGGCGGGCGCTGGAGGCGGCTGCGGCCGGGGCCGGGTTCCGGGCCGGGCGGCGGAAGCGGGCGCGGCGGGCGCGGCGGGCGCGGGGGCCGCTGTTCCTGAGGCGATGATGGGCAAAGAGGAGGAGATTGCGCGGATCGCCCGGAGGCTGGACAAGATGGTGACCAAGAAGAGCGCGGTGAGGGGCGCGGGCCGCCAGGACCCCGGGACCCCCGCCCCGTCGAGACCCCGTCGAGCTCGCCGACCCCCGTCAGGGCGGGGAGACCACCTGAGGGGCAGAACGAGGCCCAGCCCCGGCAGAGACTCCCGGGACGCGGGGAGACCCCCGCCCGAGGCCGAGACCCCTGTCCTGCCCTTCACCCCCGCACTCCCGCAGAGGCCGCCATCGGGCCTGGACCTTGTCCCGGGAGCCACGCTCTGGACTCAGACGCTCCTGCCTGGCTGAGACCCCGCAGACCCGGCTCTGCAGCCCTCCCTGCCCCTAACTCCAGACCCCCGGCCCGGCCAGCGGACGGCTTCCTAGGCCCCAGCCCCGCCTTACAGCGCAGCCCCTTCCAACAGACCGCCTGGCCCCGAGCCTGTCTCCATCCTGGCCTGGGCACCCTCGGGGGCCTCCGCTGGTCCCCGCCGAGCCTGCCCCAGCTTGGCGCCCTCTCCCCACTGGTCTCCCATGCCCTGTGCGCCTGCGAGAGTTCGGACCCCTTTGCCCTGGAGCTATAATGCCTCCTGCACCCCTTTCTGGCCCGCGTCATTCCCCTTCACAGGCTGGCCAAAGGCCTTTCCTGGCTGTGGGGCCCGTTTTCTTCTCTGTCTGTTCCCACCCTACAAAAACCAGGTTTCTCTAATAAATTCTTGCCCTTCCTTAGCCAGCACTCAGCCAGCAGCGACTGGGGTGTGGTAGATACCTAGACACCCTGGGAAAAGAGACTGCCGAGTGAGACCTGGGAGGTCGAAGGAGCCTCACCTGGCAGTCTCTGGGCACTGGAGCCTCTGGCCAGCTCTGCTCACTGCGCAGCCTGGGCCTCTCTAGTCCAGCGGCCACAGTGAGCCGTTGGAGGCTGCTTTGAGGCCTCTGGGAGGGGCCAGGCCAGTGGGGGTCCAATTCCAGCATCATGACCTTGTGCAATCTCTACAACCTCCCACAGAAGCATCCCTAGCAGATGGTACTTGCCTTATGGGGGTGGGGAGGGGTCCAGGAGTTCAAACGGGGGGCCTGGCTGGCTCAATAAACATGACCTGTGCCCTCCCACCCAGACTGCCAGCTTCTGGGACAGGGCTGAGTTGTGTCTCTGCTGGACCAGCCCCGGTGGTGAAGGTGGCTGAGTCATGGGCTTTCGGTGGCTTGCGCAGCCACCCCAGGGCTGTGTGACTGCAGTGGGGATTCCGGGAAAGCTTTTTGGGCTGAGCAGGATTGAGTCTAGCTTCCTGTTGACCATGGTTCTGGGCTGGGGTCTACACTGGGAAGGGGGCGGGCTCCCACTCATTCATTCATGCTGGAAGCAGCCCCCCTCCATCGTGTTCACACCCCCACACCCCTGAGAGACCGTGGGCAGCACAAAGTAGGGGTGTGTGAATGATCTGTAGCTGTTTCCAGAGATGAGCAGAGAATGAAGTTGCCTTCCTTCTTAAAGGAGACAAAGCACAAAAGATAAAGCCAGGAGCAGATGTGGATGGTGGAACCTGGGGAGGGCTGGGTGGGTGGGAGGGACTGGTCAAAGCATGAGCAGAGTGGGGGGAGGGCACTGTGGAGTGGGGTGTTAGAGCCAGTAGAGGCTCCTGGTGGGTTCTAGTGCCTGAGGCCCCTTGGGAAACTTGTGAGCTGTATTTGGGGGTTTTATGCCTCTGGTCTTGAGCCCACTGGAAGCCACATTCCCTGGTGTGCAGCGCTGTCAGGGAACAGTGTCTTTGGCTCTGGTGATCACATGTCCCCTCTGAGGGGTTCACCTGACGGCTGGACTCTGCACAGCCCGAGGGGCAGGGCTTGCCTGGGGGATTGTGTGAGGAGGGGACTGCACCCTGGGCAGAGCTACCTGGAGTGGGGGTAGGTCCACCAAGCCCCTGCCATGGCCTGTGGGTTACAGGACATCTGAGTAGCGGGGTCAGCTCATCTCATGGTGTGGGGAAGGATACACACATGGAAACCCACCGGTATGTTCACAGGGGACTGGGCCTGTTGAAAACAAACCAGACGAGAAGCGTAGGGTAGTGCATGGCACAGATGCAGTTTTAAGTAGGAGAGGCCTTGCTGAGAAGCTTTGAGTGAAGCTTTGGGGCGGGGGGCACTAGCCCTGTAGATACCCTGGGAGCGTGTTCCAGGCAATGGGGCAGCAGGTGTGAAGGTCCTGGGGTGAGTGTCCCGGCACTCTTGAGGCAGTATGCCTAGAGTGAAGGCGTAACCTGTTTGTGCCCGGCCTTATCCTGTGTGAGGTCTTGGAGGACACACAGAGCTTGAGTGGTGAGATAAGGCAGAGAGGAGACTGGGGCCTGTTGCAACAGTGCAGGTGACTGCTTGGGGATAGCTCGGAGGCCTGGAGGACCGACCGGGAGTGGGGCTGTGGGCCTTGGGGGTGTTGGCTGTGGCTGTGCCAGGACTGCAGGTGCACTGAGGGTTTGGCCTCAGCACAGGACACTGAGGTTCCTGGGTGGCGCTTCCCAGCCCACGGGGCACTTTGGGGAGAGGCTGCCCTGCATACCAGGGCGTGGACAGGCAGGGAGTGAGTGAGCCTGGGGCTACCTTCACCTGTGTGGCTCTGGCTCCTGGGGAGGGGCTGGCATTCCCTTCTGGTTTGGTCTGTGACCTGATGTGACAGTGAGGCCCGTGAGGTCATTGCCACAGATGTGGATCAGGAAGTCATGTGACCTGTAATGATGGGGACTTCCTTCTCATCCTGCCCTGGGGTGGAGGCAAGAAGGGCCCTTTGCCATGGTGCAAGAACAGGCGGGCAGAGCCCTGGGTGTCTCCAGGTGGAGGAACTGTGGCTTCCCTCTGGCCCCAGGTGGAATCTCCAAATTGCCACTGCCTTGTGTTCCCTGCAGTGGGCAAGAGGAGGTGAAATTGTCCACTGAGATCTAAAGTCCTTTATGAAGGTCCCCCTTCTCCTTCCAGGAGGGAGCCATGGACCTGCTGCGGGAGCTGAAGGCCATGCCTGTCACACTGCACCTGCTCCAGGTAGGTCCCTGCCTGCCCCAGGCCCGGGACGGCTCCTGGGAACAGTCCAGAGGACAGCAGTTCTAAGGGCACCTGGCAGGGCGTGGTCCCCCTCCCCAGTCCTTGGTTGGCACAAATATCTGTTCTTGAGGAGAGGGTCCCTGCTCCTCTCTGGTGCTCAATGAGACAGGGTGGGGAGTCTGAGGACAACCTATCCTGTCCTTGATGGCCGAGGCTCCTGGGTTCCAGATGGGACAGTACCATGAAGAGAGGCACCTACCTTCCCCCGCCAGCCCCAGCCCCTGCCCTGTGGGAGCCGCTAAGGGTCTGCTGGGAGGCTCTGACTTCCGGGACAGGCCCCCACTGCCACCCGACCAGGCTGCTTGCCTTGCAGTCCACCCGAGTCGGGATGTCCGTCAACGCCCTGCGGAAGCAGAGCTCCGACGAGGAGGTCATTGCGCTGGCCAAGTCTCTCATCAAGTCCTGGAAGAAGCTCCTGGGTGCGGGTCAGGCAGTGCTGACTGAGCTCCGGGGCAAGGGGCCCCTGAAAAGTGCTGGCCTTTTGCTGGTGTAGGGTGCTGGCGGTGCTGCCTCTGCGCTGGGCTGCGCAGGAGTGGGGTGGTGGCAAACCTGAGCCAGGAAATGCCCAGCTCAGGGGCTAGGAGCTGACTGGTGACTGCCCATCAGCGTCAGCTGGGAGGGGTGGCCTGGGAGGCATGGCTGGGGGAGGCAAGGGTGTGTGCTGGGGAGGGGGTTCCATGTAGAACAGGGAGAGAAGAGAGTGGGGGGCAGCACCTGAGCTGACAAGCATGGGGGAGTGGCCAGGAGCCCTAGAGGGACTGGGCTGAGCTGGAGGGGTCACACCAAGGTGGGGGATACTCCACGAAGAGAGGGTAAGAGGGAGGAGGTGGGGCCACCGCAGCTGCTCAGAGGGAGCAAAAGGGCTGCCTCAGGCCAAGGAAGGGCTGAGCTGGACAGAAAGCAGCCTCTTCCTGGGCACAGTGGGTGACTAGGGTGACAGAGATGCCCCTGCCTGGGACAGAAGGGCAGCTCCATCTCTGGACCCTGGGAGGGGGCCCCTCCCAGCTCTGTCCACACCCTTGTGAAACAGCCACAGCCCTGTGTGGCCTTTGGGCCACACATGGCACAAGCCCAGTGCAGGCCCCAGGCCTGGCTTCACCTAAGGCTGGGGTTTAGAAGGAGACTTGTAGGGGAATGTTTGGTCTGTCTATCTAGGACAGGCAGGAGGGTGGTCCCCAGAGGCCCAGAGGTGGCCTGCTTGAGCTGGGGAATGTGTAGGAAAGGGTCTGGGGAGGTGGCCTCCAGGCTGCAGAGGCTGATGAGGGCTTGCTGGACAGAGAAGGCTTGGTGGGCTCCTGGCCCTGGCTCCATCTGGCTTGGCCGGGGCTAGGGGTCAGGGCTGACAGCAGGGGTCGTGGTCTACCTGAAGCTGTGCCTGGGTGGTGATCTATCTTTCCCTCCTGACCAGCCCATCCCCTTGTTTCTGGGTAACTGCAGATGCTTCAGATGCCAAAGCCAGGGAGCGGGGGAGGGGCACACCTCTGCCCACATCGTCTTCCAAGGATGCCTCAGAGGCCACGGATCCCAGGTAGCACACCTGGAAGGCAGGTGCACACCCTCCTGCCTCCTAGCCTCAGTTTCCTCAGTAGAGAAGGGGTGCCTGGGCACTGCTGAGGGAAGGGCTGTCGGGGGGGGTATGCACAGGGCTAGTCAGCCTCATGCTGGACACTGTGTCACGGCCGAGCCCCACACGCGCTGACCATCCGGGACACACGGCTGTGTCCGCCTGGCTGTCAGTGAGCCACCCTGATGCTGTCCTCTGCAGAGTGCCGTGCACACCTGAGTGGACCTGTAGGAGCTCCCTGGCCACTGCCCCCGAGACTCCGTCCTGGGTTTAGTTCTCAGTGGCCTGCTCCGGCTGCCCCCTCAGTCTCACTCGAGGGCCCCTCTTTCCTGCAGAGTCTCGCCCAGAACCAAAGGTGCCCGGCTCCCCTCCCACCGTGCATGCGCAGTATGGACACCGCAGACCGGAGCGCAGTCAGGGCTTTGCTGCTGTGGAGGCTGGGTGCTCAGGGACAGGCTGTGGTCAAGAGCCCGCTTTGCTCTTGACTGGCCTGGCTGGGGCTGGGCCTGGGCAGGACAGGCTGAGCGCTGGACTCATGGCGTCGCTGTGCAGCCGCAGCGCATCTGCACACCTGCTTGAGTTTATTTCCCTCCAGGAAGCTGCCTGCCCCTGCTCATTTCCACAAAGGGCTCAGTGGACAGAGCCTGGCCATCAGGCAGCCCCGAGAGAGTTGTCCCTGTCCCAGTCTGTGCATGCCAGTAGGGTTACCTGTGATGGCAGGACCCGGCCTTGGGTGACCCCCAGCCTGTTTGCCCCACAGGCAGCTGTAGTCTGTCCCCCACCTGGGAGCAGCCATGGCTGCCATCAACGGAGAGGTGTCTGCAGGAGGCCTGTGACCTGGGCCTCCCAGAGGGTGTGAACACCAAGAAGTGGCAGTGACCGCACAGCCCATCCTGACCAGCTGGCAAAGCTGCCAGGCGCTGGGTGCCGGGGTAGGATCTGGCATCCTGTTCCCACTTGGGGAGTGTGCCCTGACCCACAGGGGACCTCGAGGCCCCTCCCCTGCCAGCTGGATGGAGACAGGCTCACAGCTATAGCTGGGGCAGAGGCAGGGTTTGGAGATGCGGACTGTGCCAGGTCATCTGCTCTCTTGGGACCAGCGTCTCACTGGGCTGCACACCGCCCTCTGAGCCCACCTGGCCCTGCCTCTCTCCAGACGCAGGAGGCCAGAGCTGCCCAGGACGCCACCCACCCCAAGGATGACCACATTCCCTCCAGTGCCCGTCACCTGTGACGCCGTGCGCAACAAGTGCCGTGAGATGCTGACCGCTGCCCTGCAGGCAGACCGTGAGTGCCCGGCAGGTTCTGACCCGACATGCCAGACTCAGGTGGCCAGGACCCTGCCTGCCCCCAAAGGCTTACTTCCAGAGAGGTGGTCCTCCTCTCTCAGCCTATTGTCATGGCCCCGGGAGTGGGTGGGGTCTTTGGGGATACTAGAGTGCTGGGGTCATGGGCAGTGGCCCCCAGGGACATGGCTGTCTCCTCTAGCTGCCAGGGTGTGGTATAGGCAGAGAAGGCTGTGGGGCAGCTTGTCAGGGCTCTCTCTTGCAGATGACCATGTGGCCACTGGTGCGGACTGTGAGCGTCTGTCAGCCCAGATTGAAGAATATATCCTTTGTGCAGGGGCTTCTGGGCCAAGGGTTTCTGGCGGAGTCAGGCCACCGGGCCCGGCTCCCCCTGGTGGCTGCTGGGCACCAGTGCCAGGCTGTCCAGGGCTCTCTCTGGGCGGTCACCTGCCTGGCCAGTGGGGCAGCCTGGACCCAGGAGGCCTCCCTGGACTGGCCGAGGGGCTGATTCTGCCTACTGGTGCTGTCCCTGGGGCTTTGAGCCTGAAGCTCCATGCCAGCCAGGAATGGGTCTGTGGAGGCCCAGCCCTGTGGCCTCTCAGCTCAGCACCAGGGCCGGGTGGGCAGGCTGGCTACTGTGTGGCCAGACAGAGCCTCCCCAGCCCCCAGCCTGGCACGGCCCGCGGTATGGCGGGTGGCAGCCGGAGGGCGAGGCTTTGGTCTCAGATGGGTCCTTAAACGCCTGCACGCATCTTCCGGGACGTTGGGAACACAGACATGAAGTACAAGAACCGGGTGCGGAGCCGCATCTCCAACCTGAAGGATGCCAAGAATCCCGACCTGCGCCGGAACGTGCTGTGTGGCGCCATAACGCCGCAGCAGATCGCAGTGATGACGTCAGAGGTGAGCGCCTGTCGGAGGGGCTGGGGGCCGCCCCTGCGGAGCGTGGCTAAGCGGTTGGCCCCTCGCCTCAGGAGATGGCCAGCGACGAGCTGAAGGAGATCCGCAAGGCCATGACCAAGGAGGCCATCCGCGAGCACCAGATGGCCCGCACAGGCGGCACGCAGACGGACCTGTTCACCTGCAACAAGTGCAGGAAGAAGAACTGCACCTACACACAGGTGAGCAGCGCTGGGGGTGTCCGGTGCCCACCTTGGAGCTCGTGCCTGTCCCCTCTGCTGGGCGGCAGGGCCACTCTCACCCACACCTGGACATGGCGCCAGGGCTGTGGTCTGAGCTTAGGTTTCTCTCTGAGCCTCTCGAGCCCTGATGAGGCCAGGGAGTCACAGTCACCTTCAGGGCCTACTCCCTTACCCAGGACCCTTGGCCCCAGGCAGCTGAAGTGGGGGGCCCGGGAAGGAGGTGTCAAGAGTGTGGGTGCTGGTGGGAGGGCAGTGTGGCCGTGGGACCCTCAGACCCCGCCATGCAGGACACTGAGGTGCTCTGGGGGGACTGTGTGGACCCCACAAGATGCTGGGGAACTGGTAAGAGGAGCGTGGCCACTGTACTGGCAGACAGGGCTCGAGAGGGGCAGTCTTCCCTTGTGGGCCGCACAGGGTCTGGGGCTGTGCAGGGCCTGGCCTGCTCCCTACCAGTGGGGTGAGGCTCACTTCGGGCCTTCCGAAAGGCACCACACCACGGGGAATCCTTGCTAGCCTTCCACTGTGGGGCCCTTCCTACAAGGGACTCTCCCGCCCTCAGCTGAGTCCAGGCCCTGCAGGGCTCAGGCCAGCGTGAGGTGCTTTAGGCCCACATGAGGGCCTCTGCCGTGGTGGACCCCCCCCCCCGTCTCTTCCCCCAAGGCTCAGGAAGGTTGGGGTTGCTGGGCAGCCTCAGGACAGGTCACCCATGGGGGTCCAGGGACCACAAGAGCAGCACTGCTAAGGCCGGGGACAACCCCTGCAGCAGAGCCCAGGTGACCCTGGGCTCACCCCTCCCCACAGGTGCAGACCCGCAGCTCTGACGAGCCGATGACCACCTTCGTTGTCTGCAACGAGTGTGGAAACCGCTGGAAGGTAGGTGGGTCAGCCCAGGCTGCCCCCCCGACCCTGCTCTCAGGAGGTGGGTGTCCCGGCTGGTGTGGGGTCTATGCTGTGAGCTACTGATGGCTGTGCCCAGCCAGCCTCCTGGGAGTCTCGGGGGCGGGTGGAGACCCCAGCCCCGGGTGGAGCTGTCCTGCTCCCCCACCCTGGATGCCACTCGCCTACTTCTTGCAGTTCTGCTGAGCCCTCTTGCAGATGTCCTGCAGCCCTGGGCTGTGGCCAGTGCCAGCCCTCCCCAGTCCTGGATGGACACAGCCTCTCTGGAGGCCCCCCGAAGGCAGCCCACCTTGCCCCCACCCTGCCTGCCTGGAGTGCACCTTTCTGCTCATTTCCCTTGTTATTAAATGTTTCTTTTTGCCACCTCGCTGTCCTTGGCCCTTGCTCCTATAGGGCCCCTGTGTCCTTTCTGTCCCCCGCTGCTGCTGGACAGCACTGGTCCCTGGGGTCAGGCACCGCTGGGCTGGGCCTGGCGGGTCAGTGCTGGGGGAAGAGCTGGACAGACCCTCAGAGGGATCACCTCTGCCTCACGGTTCAGGGACCTGGGGGCTCTGCCTGTGCCCGTGCGTGCGTGGTGCAGGCAGGTGAGGAGAGGCCTTGTGTGCACGCAGACACCTGGGGCCCCTGCAGGCCTCAGTTAGACCACCCTGCCTGTCGTCCGCCCCCCCCTTCTCAGGCGTGGGCAGCTCAGTGCCCCCCAGGATGGCTAGTCCCACATCCCGTCTGTTTGTGGCATTCACCCTATAGCGTGGTGGTCTCAGGACCCTAAGCCCATTCCAGCTTCAAATTGCTTGACTTCCCAGAAATTCGGGACAATGGAGTGGTGAGCACTTGCCTGGAGGGGCCTGCGCGACGAAGATGGCGTCGTGCCCAGCATCAAGGGACTCTCCCTGCTGGCCTGCCTCCGGGGGACACCCTTGATACCTGCTGGGGACCCCTGTCCGCCAGGGTCCGGGCGGCACGTCCCACTGCGTCCCAAGCCTTCATGAGGTGCTGTGGTCACACTGTGGTGACCATTTACGGCTCAGGAGGCTGGGGCCACTGCTCTGAGGTGTCCAGTGGGAGCGTGGGTCGGGGCAGGGCGCACAGGGCTCTGTCTGGCCCCCAAGCGGGCACTAGAGTCCACGCCCCCGCGCCGAGGCCGGGTCTGGGACGACTCCTCATTCTCTCATCTCCCCACAAGCCTGGAAATACAGGGGAGACTTTTCCTTTAAAAATATCTTCAATAATAAGACATCCTATTTTGGGGTGGGGATGAGGGGAGAGAGATAAATATGAAAACATTTTTTCTTTTTTTTAGATAAAACACAGTAAGGACATGTTTCCAGGTTTAAAGTTCATGAGCATATAAAAGAAAAATTGGGTCCTGTCACCTTGAGCCTGAGTCTGAGGTGCAGACAGTCCAACCAGGAAGGTCTTAGTTACAAAACTAGGTATCTGGAGGTCCTACCGCCCGGCAAAGGCACGTTTTCACCTCCGGCTGCCCGGGGAGGGGGAGGAGGCCCCCTTGAGGCTCTCGGGTCCAAGGTGCTTCCTGGGAGGGCCGCTCCTCTCACCAGGCAGGAGCACTGGCCAGCCAGCCGCAGGCTGCGAGGGGCTTCAGGCCGCCACCCTGCACCCGGAGCTCCCGCCGGGCCTGCGGGCAGAGTCAGGGGTGCCACCTTCCCCTCTGGGGTCCGGACGCCTCCAGGGTGGGGACCCCAGCCAGCTGGGCTGGGCCTTCAGGTGTGCGCCACACCCCCGCTGGCATGAACACGTGCGGGTAACCCAGAGTCTGCCCACGGGGGCTGGGTGTGCAGCCTAGGCCTCGGAGGAAGACTGCGAGGCCCCCCGGAGCAGCAGGGCGCGGTAAGTGGGGGAGCTGAGGAAGCGAGGGTAGGAGTCCCGGTGCATGAGCGTGTAGATCTGCAGCTGCGCGTCGTCGAACGTGTGCGCGGACGGCTCCTGCATCTTCTTATTGATGCCTTCGCGCACACGGGAGTCCAGGCTCACCTGCGGGAAGCGGCACCGGGGTCAGGCGGCCCAGGGGTGCCCCCCCACCGCGGTGCCCGACACAGGCCGCCCCCCGCGCCCTTTCCGGCCATTGGCACACCTCCTTGGGGGACAGTATGGACACGTAGTCCTCGTAGATGAGCCGCGCCTTCTCGTCCACCACGTGCTGGTTGGCCTCGGCCTTCAGCTCCTCGCAGGCCAGCCAGAAGAGCATGTTCTCCTCGCTGTACTCCGTGCGCAGAAAGGCCCGGAACACACTGCGGCCCGCCGGGCTGCGCATCAGCTTGTCGAAGGACTGTGCCCAGCTCTGCACCTCCTCGGGGCTCGGCGTGGCACTGTGGGAAGCCACAAGTTTGGGGCCAGGCCACCTCAGGCCCGAGGCCCCCACACGCCCTCTGGCCTGCGGGACTCACCACACTTCGCAGCCGGGCAGGGGCTGGAGCTTGCTCTCCTGGGAGGCTTGCCACGCTCGCCGCCGCCTTTCGTTCCTGACGGCAGAGAGAAGGTGGTGTTGCCCTTGACACACGGGCCTCCACACGCACACACATGCCACTGCGGCCACACGCGGGCCCTCGGCACACAGGCAAACACGGGACGCGGGGTGCCTGGCACGTGTGCAAACCTGCTGCAGGGGGAGCAGCCCCTGGAACCGTCTCCTTTCACGCCCTCCTGGGAGACGGCCCCTCCTCGCCTGTCCCCCCGAGGGTCTAGGTCGCTGTCCCTGCAATGTGCCCAGGCCACGACCTCTGCCCCTCCTTCCCAGGTCCCCGCTAGGCCCTGGGGACTCCTGTCGTGCTCCACCCCCACCACCAAGGACCCTGCTCTCAGCCTGACATGGGCTCTGTCTGTCTCTCGCCCACGCGTCCACACCGCAGGTCCACACCGCAGGTCCGACGAGTCAGCACGTCTTGTCGGCTGATGCCGGGTGCGAGCCCCCGGCCCACATGTCTGACCTGCCAGTTCCTGGAGCCTGACCCCTGACTCGGGGCCTAGTGCTTGTCACTGCCAGGCCAAATCCACAACCCAGGGCCGCTTGGTGACTGGCACACTTCTCAAACCCAGACGTCCAGACAGCTCAGTTCCTGCCCTACCCCTGCCCCCCAGATGTAGGCCCCAAACTTCCTGCCTCCCCCACTCCAAGCTCCTGGTGAGCCCTAACTATACACACTCACTCCTCCCACCCGCGTCTTGCCTGTTGCTCACGGGCAGCTGAGCCCACCCTGGGTCCCCAAATTGCCTCAACAGCCAAGGGCCTTCAGCCCGAACAGGGCCACGCTTCTGCGAGGCATGGAAATGCCCACTAGCTTCCCCACACTCCTAGAAAGCTCTTTTAACATCTGGGACCCCCTCCCGCCCTCACAGACACGCAGACGCCCCAGTGCTCTCCTCTGCCGCCAAGCAGGCTGCTGGGGAAGCTCTTCTCCATCGCCTGGGGTGAGCTGCTCCCTCACTCTCGCCTCAGGTCAGCAACCCTCCACTGCACGCAATCTGCAGGACCTGTGCCTGCTTTGTTCCACTGCAGGGCCCAGGGCCCAGCCTAGGGGCTCACAGCGGCACCGACAAGGCATGCTGAGTGTATGGGCGTGTGCGCACGCAGCACCAGGCACATCCTCAGCACAACAGGTGCGGGAGCCGTGCAGGAGCCTCCCAGGGGGCCAGGCACTGACCACGGGTCACCAGGGCCCAACAGCCCCAGGGTAGGATGGTAGCAGGAGCACCCTGCCTGCAGGGGATGCCTCAGAAGCCACCAGAAGGTCCCATCCGGGCTGTGTGCAGCCCTACCCCTGCCCCTCCCACCCAGCCGGGCCCCACGTACCAGGAGCAGCTGCAGCAGCAGCACCAGCACAGGCAGCAGGGGTTGCGGCTGGGGGCCGCCGGCGGGGCTGTGTCATGACTGGTCATTGAGGGGGGCCGGTCTGCCTCCTCTGGCCCTGTGTGCTGGGGAGGACAGAGCCACCTTAGTGTCCAGGCACCCCAGACCACACACCTCCCCCCACACCCACTGGCGACCACGCTCCCAGGGGGAGGACCCTTGGCCTCCAGTGTTCAGAGGTCTCCCAACTCCTCGTGGCCCCTCACTTGCCCTCCCATCTCCCCAGGGGGCAGAGGCAGAGGGGGACGTGGCGTACCTGCTTCTCCGCCTCATGCGGGGTGGGCATGGGTGGGCAGAGGAGGTTGCCCAGGCTCCGTGGTGCCAGCTCCTGGACCCTCACCGCAGCCTGGGGGTCTGGGGAGAGGGGCTAAGGTTCTAATGAGAATCTTTGACCCCGGCCCCGACCTGTCCCCCAGGAGGGGTCTCAAGAGGGTATCTCCACCCTCCTCCTCCTCAGAGCCCTGGAGGAGCCTGCTCCTGCCCACTCCTCCTAGACCCAGCTCTGCCCGTCTTCTGCTCCCAATCTGACCCCCACCAGGGCTGTGAAGGGTCCAGCGTCGGGGAGGAGGGGGCTGCAGCTGTTTCTGGCTACTCCTCCCAGGCTGGGCCCCAGATGAGGCCCCCCACAGGAGTTCCGGGACACCCCCATCTGCCCTGTCCCTGGGAAGCCGGAAGCCTGGGTTCCTCTTTCTTGGTTTCCGGCTCCTGGCCCCTCCCAAAGGGGCTGGGGCCCCCAGAGTCTGGGCCTAAGGCTGGTGCGTGGGGGTGGCAGTCAGACATGCCTCCAGGGTGTTTCTGCCCAGACTCGGGGGGTAGGGAGGTGGGTACAGCTGCTCCCCACCAAGAGTCTAGGTCTGTCTATGGGCCACAGTGGACTCAGCCAGGGGTAACAGGCCAGGGCTGCAGCATTGAGGATTTCAGTGAGACTCAGGGCAGGACTTCCTGAGGGTGGGGGAAGTGGAGCAGGGCACTGGTGAAGAGGGACATGTGCCTCCCAGGGAACATGGCTCTTTGGTTGTGACACCTCCTTACCCTCTGCTGCCACCCAAGGTTTCCCTCCTTCCCAGCCCACTGCCTCTAGGCTACAGAAACTGCAGCCCCAAGGCCCTAGTGCAGGGCACAGGGCACGCCAGCCAGGGAAGAGGGGGTGCCCTGGCCTTGCTCCCCTGTCGCCTCCTCAGAGTCCCCCAGTTTGTGCACATCCTTCCAGGCATTTGGCCACACCTTCTGCGGTGGAGGCATAGCCGGGGCATGAAGCCTCGAACAGCCCTTCTGCCACCAAAGAAGCTACCATGGGTCCCAGCGTCCCCTTGGGCGATGGTGCAGGGCAGCCAATCAGCATCCTGGAGGCAGTTTTGAACACCTGAGTCCACCAATGCCCAGGTGAGGGCCCTCTGGGCCTCCCTGCACATCCACTGCCCTCCTCAGTGGCCAGGAGTGTCACGACTTGGTGCTACTTTATTTTGTCACTTAATCTTCATATTCCCCACCAAGCCACTCCCTGCTTGCAGCCTTTGAATCCTTGTTTCTGCACCTCCAGGGCCTGTGTGTGTGTGAGCTCTGCTCAGATGGGACAAGCCAGAGTTTTGCACTTAGGGCACCTGCTGTCCAGAGCCAGATCTGGGGGCAGGTGCAGAGTCCCCTCGCGCCTTGGCCCCTCAGCAGTTGTGCAGCTTCCTCTGAGATCTGTGGGCCTCACAGGCTCCCAGTGAGCAGATGGGGACACAGAGAGTAGCCCTGAGTCTGGGCTTTCCTTTAGGGGTCAAGTTTATAGGGAAAGGAAGGGGCGTGGCAGCCTGAGGTCGGGTAGCTGTACCCAGCCAGGCCGTGACTTCCTCATCTCCACCCCCACTCAGGGACTGGCACTCCAGCACTCCGAGACTGTCCCTCCTGGCAGCCATCTCCACCCCGGCTCTCAGGAGAGGAAGGGACCCATCCGGGGGTCTGGGGCTGTGTGCTAGGGGTCTGCTGAGGAGGGAGCCGGCCCCTTCTTTCCAGGTGAAGACCCTGGACCTGGTCGCCTGTCCCTGGCTCCCTGCACCCTTCTCAGGTCAGCTGGAACCATCCATGTCCCCAGGCTACCCATGGGCGCCCTGGGCTGACCCTCTTCTCTCCTGGGGGGATACAGAGTCTGAACTAGGGTCCTACCCCTCATCCTGGTATTGGGGGGCTCCTCCCCTTCCCCAGCCCCCCAAGGCTTTGCCCCCAAGTCTGGGAGGGGAGAGAGAGGCCAGACAGGCAGCAAATCTGGTCTCTGGGGACAGAAGCTCCCTGAGGAGCAGTTGCTGCTTTGCTCCACAGAAGGAAAAAGAACGTCCCCAAGCCTGGCCAGTCCAAAAAAAGAATTAAAAAATGTGACAATCTCAGAAAAAAATGTCATAACCTTTGGGAGGGGGTTGACAGAGGGGCCCCATTGCCAGTCCTTCTGAGTCTACCCAGTGCTTTCCTGTCTGCTGCCCCCTCCTTCTGGCTGGCGGAGTCCGGCCACCCGTCCAAGGCAGGACAGCCCTCCGTAGCCCTGTGACCCTCACTCCAGCGCACCTCTGAAGTGTGGTGGCGACCCCCCACCTTGCTCCTCTCCCAGCCGGTAGCGTCCAGTCTGGGGGAGCCCCTCCCTCCAGCCGCTGACGCCCCCGCCCCTACCTCAAAGAACTCGCCGTGGCGCCCCACTCACCAGCGACCCAAAGTGGGGGTGGGGGCGGGAGGGGCCCGGCTGGGTGTGGGCCCCACCCTGGCTGCCGAAGGGGCGTGCACTGCAGTGGCGGGGACTCGGTCGGACGGCAGGAGGTACTCCCGCAGCGCTCTGGAGGGAGGCTGGCGCCAGGAGCCCCCCGATCGGCTGGGGCTGGGGGCGCAGCGCCTCCCCTACAGCTCGCAGGGCCAAGTGGCTTCCCGATCCAGTGGGGTGGGGGCGGGGGCGGACAGGGTGTCCCGCCCCACCAGGCTTGGGGGGGCAGGAGACACGGAAACCTGGGTTCTTCCGGCCCCCACCTTCGAGCAATCACTTCCCCAGGCTCTGAGCTGCAGAAAAAGAGGAACCGGCTGCAGCGCCCCTCCCCCACGAGCGGGGGCGGGCTCCAGTGCCCCCGAGGCCCAGGGTCCACGTGGACCCCGCCGCGGGAGTCCACGGAGTGCGGACCCCGGGCGCCGGCTCGCGAGGCTCCCGTCCCTCACCGCCCCGGCTGGGAGCCGGGAGGGGCCGGGCTGCCGTCCCCGGCGCCGCGCGCACTCACCGGCCGCGCTCCCGAGCCACTCGCGCCGCCGCCGGCCCGCGCGCTCCGAGGTCCGGCCCGGTCGTCGGGGAGGGGGCGCGGGGCACAGTGCGCAGGCGCCGGGGCCGCACTTCCCCAAAGCGAGGGGCCGGGACTTCCTCGCGCCGGGTGGCGCCGGGCCGCCCCGCCCGCCGCGCCCCGCCCGCGCTCGGCCGGCTGCGCGCCCACCCGCCGCCCCGCCCCGCCCCGCCCCGCCCCGCGCCGGCCCCCAGGGTGCGGGGCTTCCCCGCTAGGTGCGGCGCGGGCGGCGGAGCCTCTGGCCCGGGCGGTGGACGGGGGTACGGCCGTGACCCCCGCTCTGCTCGGCGGGGCCTTTCCCGCTGTGCGGTTCTGTGGGCGTCCGCGGGACTCCAGGGTGGAGGCGCGGGAGCTGGGCCCGCATGCTGCTTGCCCCGCCCGGGTAAGAGGAGGCCGCCGGGACGGACCGACAGCCCCAGCCCATCCGCATTTGTGCAGCGCGGCTAAGAGCCTTGTGCTGCGGAGCCTTCCTGAGGGCGGGAGGGTCCTGTGCCGCGGCGCTGGCCGGAACTGGAGGTGCGGGTTCTCGCGTCCCGAGCCTCGTGTGGGGCCTGGCTGAGTCCTGCTGACCCCTCCAGTTGCCCCAAGATGTCCGCCACGCCGTCCCCTTGCCATGAATCCGCTATTCTCTTGGCCAACTCCGCTCATCTTTATGACTCGGTACAGGTGTTGGTTGAGTTCCTCATCCTAGCATGCCTTGGCTCAGAGTGGCCCTGCCCCTGCTCTGGAAATGGTCTCCAGAGTGTCTGTGCCGCGTAGCCCGGGCTGTGTGCAGCTCCTGTGCGCCCCAGCACGGGCACTCAGCCCTGCCAGCGCCCAGTGTCAGGGTCCTGCTCATAAAATGCCTTCCAGTGGCACAAGTAGTAGGTGCACACGTCTAACAGAACTCTGAGCGGTGCAAAGGGAAGTGCTTTTACAAGTGTTCTTCATTGATTTGGCGAGTGTCTGGGTGTCCCTTGTGTGCCAGGGAGCAGGACAGGACAGCCTGGAGCTGACTGCTGGGGGCCGGTGGGTGGTGGGAAGCAGACAAGAAAGGACTGGGTGAGCCGTGGGGAGGGCACTGCATCCAGGGGGGCCTTGCTGAGCAAACAAGGGGTGGGGGAAGGCCTGGAGGGGGGCGGTCAGAGGTGAGGGGGCCCAGGACAGGCTGCCGCCAGGCGCTGTGTGCCCAAGGCCTGGCCGGCTTGGCTGCAGGACCGCCTGGCTGCCTTGCGGGCAGGGCAGGGCCCAGGACGTCCATCTGCACAGGAGGTGGGCTGCTGCTTATCCAGCCCAGCTGACAATCCTGAGAGGCGGGCACAGGTGAGGACAGAGGAGGCTCCACAGAGGTGTGCCCACCTGTGAGGCTCCACAACCTGGCTGATCCTGCAGTGCTTGGTGTGGTGTCTCCCTGCCAGGAGGTGCAGGTGTTTTGTGGGCCGTGGACAGTGCCTTCTCTCCACCTCACCCCCCACCGTTTCTCCGTGTCCCCTTGGGCCTGCTCTCCACTCCCCTGGCCTCTGCCCCTCACCACGAAGCATCCCCAAAATCTGCGGGAGGAACCCAGGTGAGCCGGGCAGTGGAGGGTTGGGATGGGATTTGAGCCCAGGACCCTCTGCCTCATCACAGCCCCCAGTACACTGGGCCTGGGCCCGCAGGCTCTGCTCTCCCACAGAGCTTTCTGCAGGCAGAGCCTCCTTCAGGCCGCACCGGAACGTCCTTGGCCACCTCCCCTGGCCTCCTCTGTGGACCTCAGCCCCCTCCCCAGTGGGGATCGAAGGGCCCCACGGGCCAGCCCAGCCCTCTCAGTGAAGCCACTTGTCTTGCTGGCCCTAGCAGGGCACCCGCCTGATGTGAGCGGGAGCATCCACTTTGTGGGGGGCCACTGTGCTAAGTGAGACCCACGTCTTTTTTTTTTTTTTCTTTGAGACAGAGTCTCGCTCTGTTGCTTGGACTAGAGTGCCCTGGCGTCAGCCTGGCTCACCGCAACCTCAAACTGCTGGGCTCAAGGGATCCTTCTGCCTCAGCCTCCTGAGTAGCTGGGACAACAGGCATGCGCCACCATGCCCGGCTAACTTTTTCTATATATATTAGTTGACCAATTAATTTCTTTCTATTTATAGTGGAGACGGGGTCTCGCTGTTGCTCAGGCTGGTTTTGAACTCCTGACCTCCAGCAATCCGCCCGCCTCGGCCTCCCAGAGTGTTAGGATTACAGGTGTGAGCCACCGCACCCGGCCAAGACCCGCATCTTAAAGATGAAGAAATGGGGGCTCAGAGAAGTGATGAAATAATATATGATTTTAATAAACAGATGAAGTCATTCTAGGAACTCAGTCAATCCCCAAGAGACAGACTCCTGGGGTTCGGACTTCGGGGAGCTTGGCCAGAGGACACCAGGACTGGCTGTCATCACATGCCCCACATCAGGGTGTGAGTAGCTGCCGCTCCTGGACTTGGAAATTGCCTTCCCTGCCCTGTCCATTTGCCCCTGCTCAAGTCCCCCTGCTCCTGGCCCCCTCCTTTTCCCCCTCTCTGCTTGACCCCACCTCCCCATCTCTATCCCCATCTTCCCCCCTCTAGGCTTGGATCAAGGCCAAGGGCACCAACAGCCCAGGAAGGGTGAAGGGTCAGGTGCAGGGGGAAGGGCTGGCTGTGGGTACAGAGGGCACAGGTCCCCATCCTATAGCTGGGGTCAGGGAGAGACATTAGCTGCCACTGAGGGGGATCCCTACTGGATCCCCGCTCTGCCCTCTGCCCTCCTTCCAGATCTGTTCTGTGCCCCAGGCAGGCAGGAGGAGCCCCTGGCAGGGCACAGGTTTGTCTGAGTCCTAGCGGCTCCTCCTGTGTGCAGCCTGCTGGGCAGGGGCTAGGGGAGAAGCCAGAGGTAGGCAAGACAGGTCCTGGGGTCTGCAGAGAGCCCACTTAGGGGAGAGGAGTAAGATCTGCCCAGAAACCTGGGGGCTTTTCAGAGTCTGGAGGTTTGTAGGTTGTGGGTTTGTCAGAATTGGACAGGGGTGGTTTCCTTCCTGTGGTCTGTGGATGGGGGGCTCCCCCAGGCTATTCAGGATGGAAAGGAAGACCAGAGGGTGGGCTTTCTGTTTGTGGCAGCAGGGTCCTCTGGGCATCGCTGGTGACTCTCCAAAGGCCAGCTTTGGCCCGGGCCGTCCCTCCCCCCCTGCCCAGAATCCCCAAATGCCCCTCACCCCCACCCCCAATGGGGTGACCTGTACTCTGGGGCCCACTGTAGCCTGAGGCTGCCCTTACTCCTGGGGTGTGGCTGTTGCTGGGAACAGGCTCTTCTTCCTGCCCTCCCCCAGACTGGGGGCCTCCCGTGGACCCGCAGGACAGCAGGTTGCCTGATGGGGGCAGGCCCGGATTGGAGGAATAGGGTGTCCCTGTGACCTGTTGCTGTGACACCCGCCCACTTGCATCTCCCTACGTGGCTGAGAGAGCCCCACTCCCTGTACCCTGATGTCTGTGAGGCTGGATGTGGGAGAAGAGTGTCCATACTCCCCCTTGCCCTCGGGGTGGGGGTCCTGCGTAGGGGAAGCAGAAAGACCAGAGAGCCCTCGCAGGACGGAGAACGAGAACTTTATGCGGAAGGGTGGGGCGCGGCCGCACATTCCAGGTCGCCGTCACCGCCGGAAGATGCCCCCCTCGTTCTCCTCCAGGATGGTCTCCACGCGCCTCCGCTGCGGGGGAGAGAGGCTGGTGCCAGGTGTGTGGTGGCGGGCGGGGCCCCTCTCTGCCCCTTCCCGGGCTTGCTGGCACCTCCTGGCGGTCCAGGGGGTCCGGGATCCGCGTGGGCTTTAGCTGCGGCGGCAGAAGTAGCTCGAGCCGGACGGCGGCGCGCGCGGACTTCTGGTGCTTGATGAGGAACGAGATCTCCTCCTCCTGCGGGTGCCCGGATCCCTGAGCAGGCGCTGCGCATGGCCCCGTCCTCCCCGCCCGCCCAGGGCGCCCCAGTCTGTCCTGCTCCCGCTCCCGTTGCCACCTGCCCGCATTAGACCTGGCCGGTCTGTTCTCCCGGTCGGGCCCCTGGCCTCACCCGCATGCGGCTGTAGCGCAGCCGCAGGGCGCGGACTCGCCCGCGGGCCTCCGCTGCCTTGAGGACTCCGAGGAGCAGGTTCTGGCTCTTGGCCGGCAGCTGGAGCGACTGGGCCCAAGTGCGCGGGTCGGGCATGCGGTACCGCGTCTCCACCGACTCGTGCGGGAAGATGGAGGCGGCTGCGCCCACGTCCTCTAGCAGGTCCCCGAAGAGCAGGTGGCGGTGGCGCTGCGCAGGGAGCATGGCCACCAACCTCTCCAGTGTCATGGTCCAGCCCGGCGTGGGGGGCTCCGTTGCGGGCGCCCACTTGGCGCGCTCCTTCCCGGGCCTTGCGCCTGGCGCGTCCTTCCCGGTGCGCTCCCGCGGGCCCTTGCGTCCGGCCCCTTTCGCCGGCGGCTCCATCCTGCCGCCCTGCCCAGGGAAGAGCACCTCGCGTCGGTGCCTGAGCGGGCACTGGGCCCTGCCCAGCCCGACCCCACCGTACACTCCAGCTCTGGCCCAGCTGGACTTCCTGCAGTCAGCCCGAGGGCCCGCACGTCTGGCCTCTGCAGGGACTGGTCTGGTCTGGTCTGTCCTGCCCTGCACCCGCCCGGGACCCTCAGCCTTAGTTTAGGGACTGGGTGGAGGGCATGGGCCTTCATTGTGTCCTGGGCAGAGGACCCGGGCCTTGGGGAGACGTGTGTGGACATAACTGGGCCTGTGCGTGTCCGTGTGAGTGGCTCGTGTCTGTGGGAGGTCTTCGTAGCTACGTTTGTGCATGCATGTGCCCAGCCCCCAGCCCAGCTTGCTCCCTCCTCCCCCAGCTGGCCCCAGCCGGCCCAGCCTACAGCGCCCTTCCCGTCTCCCTCCCCTCCCACGGAGGGCCAGAGGCAGAGCCACGGTCCAAGCGTCCGCTGACGCCCCGTCCCCATCCTCAGCTCCAGCAGCAGACCCAGCCCAGTCCCGCCCCTCGGTCCCCACACCCCATACTTTTCCCTATCAGGTGGGAACCCCTCAGCTAGGGCTCTCTGGGGCTTGTTGACGCTGTTGCCCGGCAACTAGGAGTCCCGCCCCTCCCTCCGCCCGGCGCGTGCAGGGCGGCCTTCGGGAGGGGCGCGGGCGGCGGGCAGGGGCGACATCGCGGGGACGCCCCAGCAGTAGGAACCCTTTCCAGCCCGTAACGTGTCTTCCAGGCGGCCGCAGGCTTGCAGTTCGGGGCGTGGGCCGATCGCCTCTGCATCTCCAGTCGCTGGCGTTCCCGCGAGGAGTAGCTGGGGCCCCCGAAACTCTTCTAGGACAAGTGTAGGGCCTCAGGGGTCCCCCTGGGTTTTACTGAACCCTAAGTCTCCGGATCTGGGGTCCTGGGTCTTGGGTTTCTGAACTCTCTTTGTACATTCATTAATTTTATATTATTTTAGAACTAATTCACTTCTCAGTTTGTTAGTTCTATAATTTATCCGGGCTTTTGGTGGTGTATTTTAGAATTCGTTAACTCCCCTGCTGGTTCCATGGTTTAAGTGAGGCAAAAATTAGCGTAAACCCATAATCTGTTAGTGTGTGTGTGTGTTTTGTGTGTGTGTGTTTTCTGTTAGTGTGTGTGTTACTGCCAGAGCGTGCACACGACTCCCCCCTCCATGCACAGACCTGCCTGCCCGGGTCCCAGGCGGTGCCTCTGGGAGTTTGGAGGGTCCCGGGCGGTGCCTCTGGGAGTCTGGAGGGTCCCGGGCGGTGCCTCTGGGAGTTTGGAGGGTCCCAGGTGGTGCCTCTGGGAGTTTGGAGGGTCCCGGGCGGTGCCTCTGGGAGTTTGGAGGGTCCCGGGCGGTGCCTCTGGGAGTTTGGAGGGTCCCGGGAGGTGTCTCTGGGAGTTTGGAGGGTCCCGGGCGGTGCCTCTGGGAGTTTGGAGGGTCTCGGGTGGTGCCTCTGGGAGTTTGGAGGGTCCCGGGCGGTGCCTCTGGGAGTTTGGAGGGTCCGGGCGGTGCCTCTGGGAGTTTGGAGGGTCCTGGGCGGTGCCTCTGGGAGTTTGGAGGGTCCCGGGTGGTGTCTCTGGGAGTCTGGAGGGCCCCGGGTGGTGCCTCTGGGAGTCTGGAGGGTCCCGGGCGGTGCCTCTGGGAGTTTGGAGGGTCCCGGGAGGTGTCTCTGGGAGTTTGGAGGGTCCCGGGAGGTGCCTCTGGGAGTTTGGAGGGTCCCGGGCGGTGCCTCTGGGAGTTTGGAGGGTCCCGGGCGGTGTCTCTGGGAGTTTGGAGGGTCCCGGGCGGTGCCTCTGGGAGTTTGGAGGGTCCCGGGCGGTGCCTCTGGGAGTCTGGAGGGTCCCGGGCGGTGCCTCTGGGAGTCTGGAGGGTCCCGGGCGGTGCCTCTGGGAGTCTGGAGGGTCCCGGGCGGTGCCTCTGGGAGTCTGGAGGGTCCCGGGCGGTGCTTGGGGTTGGAGGGTCCGGGCGGTGTCTGGGAGTCT